CTCCATCGGCTTGGCGGCGGGGCGCTTCATCCCTGTAGCCTTTGGCTTGGCCTTGGCCTTCGCCTGAGCCTTTCCTTTGGGCTTAGGCTTTGGCTGTGCCTTGGCCTTTCCTTTGGCCTTGGACTTTCCCGCGGCACTGGCCTTCGCCTTTGGCTTGGCATTTGCATCCACAGCCGCAGGCTCACTTGATTGGCCATCGCATTCACCGGTGTTGGATGCGTCCTCATCTGTGGGCGGCATAGCTCAGGGAGCAACGCGAAGGCACTCTTACAGGCAGCTAGCAACAGGCAACGATGCAAAATAATGTTCGGCGATGACCCTGAAGCACATGCGTCACAAGTAACATTTGCACAGGTCACAAGTAACATTTGCACAGGTCACAAGTAACTTTTGCAGCTGGTCACAAGTACAGGTCACAAGTAATACATTTGCACAGGTCACAAGTAACATGTGCACAGATCACAAGTAACATTTGCACAGTCACAAGTAACATTTGCACAGGTCACAAGTAACATTTGCACAGGTCACAAGTAACATTTGCACAGGTCACAAGTAACATTTGCACAGGTCACAAGTAACATTTCCACCATCGATATACCGTAGAAGCACCTAGGTTGTGAAGGGGCATAACCAAGCATCATAAGAGAATAAACTTCATACAAGTAAGTCAGACTCAAGCCAGCAAATCCCTAATGATTCAGGCATCGGACTCCTCACAAACGCGTCGCACGCAAACAGGCACAAACAAGTGCATCCATGGCACAGCTCACAGCAAAGCACCCCAGTCACAAGTAAACTACCGGCTGGTCAACCAGTCTCAAAGAATAGCTTTATGTTCTGGCGCTGGGATGGTTCCATTTGGAGACTGCGTGTTGGCACTGGGTAGTTCAAGGAAAGAGTTCTGTTGGGTGATGTGGCTCATCATGGTTTACTTGCGGCACGTAACATTTGATTTGCAACGCCCTTAAAGACAGATGTGTGGTCCATGCGCACTTCAATGTGAAGTCCAGCATCATGGTCACAGGAATTCGCAGAGGCTGCAGCTAGCCGGACTCCTGTAAGGTCCAGGAAATGCCTCTGCATATGGCTGAGATGAGCCTTGTCGGGCCAAATATATGAGGCAGGCATGTTCAAATTGTGATGCAATGCTGGTGCAACGCTGGTGCAATGTTGGTGCAATGTTGGTGCAATGTTGGTGCAATGTTGGTGCAGTTTTTAAAACTGCACCAAAACTGCACCATTTTGGTGCAATGTTGGTGCAGTTTTGGTGCAGTTGTAAAAACTGCACCAACATTGCACCAACATTGCACCAACATTGCACCAACATTGCACCAACATTGCACCAGCATTGCATCACCATTGGGCACCCCGCGCATCATTAATTTTTGGTGGTTTGCCCAACGAACTGCGATTCTGCATGAGGGAACTGCCCAAAAATGCTGGCGCGTTTTAGCACAATTCCCCAAGTGACAAGGAGGGGCTCAGTGGTCAGGAGCTGGAAATGTGCAAACAAAGTGTAAGTGGCCTCGACTAGTCACAAGGAAATGGCGCAACTGTTGCGTGCTCTCATCACAAGTAATCGGCTCTCAAATGGACTTTTCTCATGCTCTCATCTCTCGTACTCTCATCACAAGTAATCGGACTCTTCGCATGCTCTCATCTCTCGTGCTCTCATCACCTCTCAAGTGTACTCATCTCTCGCTCATTTTATCAGCCTCTGCGGAGCATCTGTCTGCCGAGTTCGCCCAGCAGAAACGTGATCCTCCTGTCCGGGGATGAGCTTCGTCGCCTCCGCCTTCTTCGGCTCCGGCTCCTCGGCGTCCCCGAGCGGCGCCGCCTTCGGCGTGACCGCGAACGGGCTGGAGCCCTGGCTGGCGACTCATCCTTGACAACCACGCCGCTGCCAGTGCCCTCCTCCTCCTCATCAACCTCCTCCTTCTCCTGATCAACCACCTGATCCTCCTGATCCTTCTCCTCATCCACCACCTGTTCATCCTTCTCCTGATCAACCTCCGCCACCAGCTGTTCCTCCTTCTCCTCAGAGTCCATCTCCATCTCCTCAGAGTCCGTCTCCTCGCTGACGTGGCTGACCAAGCTCACAGGGCTCGCGGCACAGTACTCGTCGAAGGAGCACTCATCAGGATCGCCAGAGCACTCATCAGGGCCGCCAAGAGCATCTTGAAGAGCGCGCCCAATCTCTTCGTCCTCCAAGTTGTCCTCCTGGCCGTCGCCATCAGCCGAATGCCCCCGAGGGGGCGGAGGAGGCGGCAGCGGCCCAACCCAAGGAGGTGCCTCAGCTGACAGGCTTGCCGCAAGTAATGAATGCCGAAAGTAATGCCACAAGTAAAGTGAGAACCTGTCACACTCAAGTGTTGGTCGCGAAAACCAAATAGCCTTCCTGTCCCAGCAGTGGCAACTGTTGTTTGGGTTGAACAATGATAAGAACACACTTGTTGCTGGCACGACACCTTGGCCGATGCCCACTTCGGCATAGCGCCAGCATAATGAGTCGGTGCTGTTGGCGGTGGCAATGGCGCAGGTAAGGCAGAGGGAGCCGGCGGCACAGGTAAAGGCGCCACATGTCCACGAGCCGGGGGCGGCAGCGCTATCGACGGCTCCAGCGGCCGGCCACTGCTGCTAAGCTGCGGCTCATGCGGATTCGCACAAATGCAGGAGATGCCGTCGTTCATGCTCTGCTCCTGCAAAGGATTTCAAACGACTTTCAACGCCGAGTCCATCAAGTTTCTCAAGGAAAAGTCTATCACCACGTAAGTCACAAGTAATCGCAAGTAAAGACACCTAGAATTACGGGAGATACAGGGGCCCATGACAAGTGCATGATCAAACATGTGCAAACGTGGTTCAAAGCACCTGACGAGTTCTTGCTTTAAAAAAAGCATCGATGTTTCAATTGCCTGGTGAAGACCAATCTGCAAACGCGAACCCCGTCAGCGACAAACACTTCTGCCAAGGCGCATCCCCAAAGATGAGAAACATGCTCATGTGCTCCCCCTCGTTGCGGCTGTCGCTCCAGCGCCTCCTGCACGTCTGGATGCTCACCAGGTTGTAGCAGCCCATGCTCTCCAGCGCCGAGCGGATGGTCCACTTCCCCAGCGAGTTCCGCACGTTCCGGACGTAGACCCTGAAGCGGTCATCGGAAGCCATGGCGACGCGTGACCTGCTCGGCAGCTTGGGTTGTGCTGTACTGATGGGTTGGTCAGTTGGCCGATTGTGGATTGCTTGTCATGTGGTGGAGCTGGTTTGTTGAGGTGGAACTGGTTTGTGGAGGTTGTGGTGTACTTGAGGTTGATGCAGCTGCCACGTGTTTACCTGAGATAAGATTTCTTCTGGTTGGTTCGCTTGCTCTTCCTTTACTTGCGGATCCTCACAGTCTGGGATTAGATTTGAGGCAATTGGTGAGTTTGGTTTACTTGAGATTGGGTTGCCTGTGATTGGTTGAAATTGAGTTGGGTGCTTGGACAATGGTTTACTTGTGCCTGGGATTGATAGGTTTACTTGTGTTAGTGGCTTAGCTGCACGCCCTCTCTAGATGCATTTTGTGCAAACAAGGCCGGCGCGGGTGTGGGAATCTTCACACAATCCACACAAGTAAAGCGCGCAATCCACACAAGTAAAACGTCCATTTACAAGTAACTTTCGTTTTCTGTGTGGGGCCCTATAGTGGTCATGGCCAAGTCACCAGACCCCTCGCAAGTAAAACGTCAGGCAAACATTGTGCAAGCAACACCGATGTCACGACCGAAGGGGTTGGCAAGCGATGCGGCTGCTTCACAAGTAAAAGCGAGGCGGCTGCTTCACAAGTAAAAGCGAGGCGGCTGCTTCACAAGTAAAAAATGGGTGGCTGCTTCACAAGTAAAAGCGAGGCGGAAAAGCAAGGCGGCGCTTCACAAGTACAAGCGAGGCGGTTGCTTCACAAGTAAAAGCGAGGCGGTTGCCTCACAAGTAAAAAATGGGCGGCTGCTTCACAAGTAAAAGCTCCACATCCATCGCAAACGTCACAAGTATCAACTTCACAAAAGCCCCCGCGTTACACAATATCTTTCTTGCAGAAGTGGGCTTCACAAGTAACGGCTCCAAGGCAGGCTGCCGCGGGGTTTTCCATCAAAAGCCAAATCCGGCTGCTTGTGCTCTAGCGGCTCGAACCACTGCCGCTGGCACCGCCGCTCTGCACAGTGGCGTCGGAAGCCACCTTCGACTTCTTCAGCGACGCGGCGAGCGGCAACCCGGCAGCATTCATGGCATCCACCTGCTCCCCCGCCTCCTTCCACATCGCAGGGGTTGGGTGAGGGCTCTCGAAGCAAACCACTCGGCCCCGCACCCTGACATAGAGGCGCCCATCACGCACCGTCGGCAGCTCGGCCTCATCATCAGCCGCACCAGCCGCGCCAGCCGCGGTGCTCTCCATGGCTGCCCTGGCTGCCTTCGCAGCCGCATCGGCCTTGCGCATCCGAGCCCGCAGCTCCTCCTCCGGGAAGATGCCCACCAGCTCTTGCAGCTCTGGCGGCAGCGGCTCATTCTCCTGCGACATGCCTGCGAGAGGGGTGCCTGGGACAGATATGCTTGTGAGCAAGTAAATCTCTAGACATGAAAGTTGATGAAGCACCACCTCGCGACAAAGAACACACAAGTAAAGCAGTCGTGCAGAACTGGTGCTCCTAAGAACAACATGAGCTCACAAGTAAAATCCTTACGTAGGGCGCTGCTCCAAGGGCGCTAAAGTTCACAAGAAACGCCGAGAGTCGCAAGGACAAGGCCGCCGCACTTACAAGCGTCAACGGTTCCAAAGTAGAACTCTAACCCTGCAGGTGCTGAGTGAGCATCATGCCTTGCCCGTGCATGACAGAAGTCTAAAACAGAAGCTACTTTCTCGACCCGCAAGGTTCGCATTTGACACCACTGTGGGGCATAGACGTGCTGGCACGTCGACCCACCCGCCCCAAATGGCACAAACACCGTATAAAGCGGTCCATAAGCAGGCATCAGTCAACATCTTTCAGGTCGTCCAAGAACTTCTCCCGAATCATCTTCAAGTCAGCGGCGTTCTTGCCTCGCTGCACCTCCGGCACCAACCGGCGGCACAGCTGCCGGTGGTAGGTCTTGTCGCAGCTGCCAATGATCAAGCGCCACTTCTTGTCAGACTGATTCCATTGGCGGATGTAGGATTTCTCCGAGTACATCTCGAGCTTGCAACTTCCATAGGTTGGGCACTCAAATTTGAAACTGGACACGTCCTCGGGAATCTCAGCCAAGGTCAGCAAACCCTGTTCCTTGCTGGGCTTCTTTGGGGAAGCCTTGTTGCGGGCATTCTTCTTGGCCATGTCTTTGGTTTTACTCTCCGTCTTCTCCTTCTTAACCACCTTCAGTGTCTTGCTTTTCTTCTTCTCAGTCAGTTTCTTTTTCTTCTTCTCTGACTTTGACACCTCGGGAACAAAGGCGCCGGCGTCCGCAAGTAACGCATTCTCCGACAAGTCATGGCTGCTGGGCTTCTCCACGTCCATGGCAAGGATCTTCGCAAAGATCGAAGGCGGTGTCTTCAAAGACCAGGAGCTTGAAGTTTTCATGGGCTGAAAAATGACGAGGTCACCAGGTATTGGCGCCGCCTGGATTTCCTGACCACTGTCCTCCTCCCCGCCTTTGATCTGGCTCTCAGCGCAGTACCCAGGAGGCAGCTGGAGCTTGTCGAGCGCGATTTCAAGCATGACCTGCTCTTCCCTCCCCAAGAGTCGCCAGCACTTCGATCTCAACTCCTCGTTCATCTTCAGGGACCTCAACATGGCCAAGAGGATTCTCACTGTTGTGTCAAGCCTGTCCATGGTCGCCTGGGGTTGCCTGTTAGGTGGCAACCACAGAACCTTGCTCTTGTACAAGAGGTCCAAGCTCGACAGCACTTTCTTCGAGGCAAGCTTCGAATTCGGGGCAAGTACCAAGAGGTCGTACAAGAGGCCAGCCGTTTTGGCCAGCCACTGAGGCTGGGGAGACGTCTGCCATGAGTACGAATGTGGCCCAGAGGGCGGCGGGCATATGAGTGCCCACAGATCCTCGCTTTTGTGGTGCTCCAAGTACTGCCGGAAAACTTTGGCCAAGTCAGCCACGGAAGTCGTAGGGTCTGCCACCAAGCGAACCTTTGAGGAAAACGATTCCCTTTGGGCCTGGCCACTTTGCCGTTTTCGCTCTTCAAGGATGAGGCTCAGGGCAGCCATTGCAGCAACACAGCCTATGTATCGGCGTAGCTCAGGCAAATGCGCTCCGGGGCAACAAGCAACGTCTAGCAGCCTCCCTCACCCGCCGAAGTAAATCTAAAGCAAGTGCATGAATGGAGGTCCGACATCCTTCCAACTTCCAAGTAACTTGTGCGTCCACAAAGGCGAAAAAGGCTGAAGACTCGTTCACAAGTAAGCTGAGACACTGGGCCCATAACCATTGCCCATGCAGACCGGCGAGCAATAACACGACCGGCAAAACAATCAGCGTTTCTTGTCACACAAGTAAGCAAACATGACCCCCGCGCCTTTGTTTCTTTTTTTCACTCATTGCACAGCCTCATCGCCCGTTGCAGCGAAAAAACGCAAAGACCTGCTTCTCTTCCATATTCACATCGAATACCAAAACTGCCAGGACAGAATTGCTTCTGAACTCCATCGCGATCACGTGAAAATGATAAATCGACTCAACTCGCAGTGCAAACGTAATATCCCGCAAAAGCGCTGACACTGGCCCAGGATCGACGTCCTCCCAGTACTCCATGGGCGGCGGCTCCTGTCCTTCTAGGCTATCGGTGTCTATCCCAACCGCCCAGGCCGCAAATATCCAGCCGCTCATGATACCACAAGCTGTGTGCTAGCCAAGAAAACTGCAATCACAGGATGTAAGCGCACAGCCTTCGAAGCCGCGACATGCGCACGTAAATCAAACGATTCATGGGGAACTCAAAGGAGGCAAGACCATGTCTCAAGTAATACACATTGTTCAGAAACATGTTCCCACTACTCAATGCTAAGAAAAATGTTTGGACTCAGGAAAAATGCGTTCGAGGCAGCTCACGAAATATACAAGAAAAAATACTGAAAAATACTGCTTTTTTTACTAGTAATGAAATTTACATTTACTACTAAATTTATTTACTAGTAAATTTACTTTACTTGGCCTAGTAAAATGAGATTAGTAAATAGTAAATTTTAGAGTAAATCGCTGCCATACTAAATTTACTACTTTTGCAGACTCAGGGTAATGCCTGCGTGAATAATGTCCTTCAAGCCTACTCAACTGAAAGCTGTTTGAAGAGCAGCGCGGGTCCACATATTTCACAACTAATCCATGCACAAGAAGATCAACACGTGTAGTGCGATACATCCTGTTGCATTTGAAAACTGGGAAAGAGTTTGCATGTCGTGAGATGCAAATCAACGTCAACGCATGCACATGATCCTTATTTACAAGACATGAACAGTAGTGTACAACGCGGCTGTAGCGATTTGCGCCAAGCTGGACAAGGATATCGCGATTAGCAATCCATGTATTAGGCTGTGCAAAAATTCCAGCTGAAAATCTCATGTTTAACGCGTGCTCAACTAAGTCGTTTAGACATGATTGGCACTGCTCTATCTGGTCACGTGCGCGTCTGATCTTGCCCCAATTCCCCCGCGTGGATGCATCGATCAAACTACCGTACCTACAAAACAAGATGTTAGGTCTGGAACCTTCAATAGTACCCCGTTTCGGGATAAAAGGGCAAAAATTAGCCGGCCTAACGAAGTAGGTCAGCCACCTTCCTAACTGAGGTTCAGGCGTTACGCCAAGCTCAGAATCGACAAAAATGTTTCGCGCATCGCAAACATTGGATCGGTCCTCAACAATGTCGAAAACCATGTAGCTGGATTCAGCTAGCTGGATAAATTTGTTGAAAAATGAGCTTTGATCGGTTTCCATGCGTACCCCCCTAATTGGGGGGAGAGCAGGTGCAGCAGGCTTTATGACAGGGAGGGTGGGACGGCTAATGAATTTCTCCAGGAATCCTGGATTAAACATTCCTAAGGTCTGCAAATTCCTACCCCATGTCACCTTGTCTACACACGCTTTGGTGAGGATGTCCGCGCCCTGATAATGCGACGGGCATGCTACGAAGCGAAAAATCTGTTCATTGTAGACTTCATTGAGCCAGCTAATGTCGATACGTTGAGTACGCGACATGTATCGCATATTCGGGTTATTCCCAGTGATGATGATGCGGCACGCAGCTTCATTATCTTCCATACAGTTCACCGTAATGGGCTTGCCGGTGCCTTGACCGATAGCAAACTGCCAAAGCTGTGCAAGTGGCATTCCTTCTTTGGCCACACCATCATCTTCGATTTGGACACCGAAGTCTGCTTCTTGCTGACTGCAGTAGTGGGAACATATGTCCTTGGGCCGACTAGGCAAATAAGGACACCAGAAGTACTTTTGGAATCAGTACGTCCCCAGCGAGATCGGCGTCGCAATATGCCACGATCTCGATGTTATTAGGCTTGTCGCAGACCCACCCGTATAGGTGTAGGTCTAGCGTCGTCTTGATATACGAAACTATCCTATGAAGCTTCTTGTCGCACAGTCGATTCTACTTAGTGATTCGACTGGCCAACGCCTGTACAGGTCTAATCAGGTCGTATCGACCCATCCTAGCACCATATAAAATCTTCATGAGTACTGCAGCCGCTGCATCGCCTAGGACACCCGGCTGTTCAGCAATCACGTCTGTTGGGCACGGAGATGGTTGCCCGAATATCTGATCTACTTCCGGGTTGATGGGATTCTCATCAAACTCCGGCTTACTCATCCAGAAAAGGCGTTTCAGCCTTCACCAAGAGGTCTAGGATACTTGGGGAGGCATAGCTCCTTGTACCTATCAACACATGCTTCCATGAAACATGCCTCGTTATACTTAATGATCTTCACCCGAGCGGGGTCGAATTTGACCTCATCAGCTCGGAGTCGCTTTTCCCCGAATCGAAGGTCAGGCATCTCCTTAGACGGCGGATGATCCACGGTCCAAGCAGTGCGAGGATCGAAGAAACCCTGTACATCGGCTGCAGCAAATTCATGCTCGCAACCCAGGTACCGCTTCAGGGTACCTGGCGGTTCCATTGTGATGACCCGACCAATGAGGTCCCATCCGATCGAAAAGCTCTTGGATGGACCACTCATCTTGAAATCATCAACATACACCACAAGAAAAAGCTTGTACTTGGGGTGATAAAACACGCTCGGCCACTCTGGGACGCGGATAAATCCGACCTCAATAAGCTTTGCTTCGCAATGCCTTTCCCAGAAAGTACCGGCGTCGGGATGCCCGTATAAGGCGAGAATCAATGGACAGACTGGGTCCTCAAAGCCAGCATCGATCCATGCTTGAGGCCATTGTTCCCTGGGAAGTCGCACCCAAGTAGTGGGACCCAGTAGCTTAGCTTGGGTATAGGCGGATTCGCCATCACTAACTTGCAGTGCGTGACCAGGCAACATGCCATTGCCTGCGGCCATTGTTGCCGGACACGAGGTAGCTTCGGAAAACATGGCCCAGTGATTTGCCTGGTCCTTCACAAAGCATCCCTCAAACACAACTCTCCCTTTGTATTTCCGATTAGGATCATGCTCGGGAATTTCATGATTCTTTTCTACACATATATCAAAGATTCTTCCTACATGGACAGTCTTACCATTTGCACGCGCTTCGGCGGCTACTTTCCTCCATTCTCTAACTCCTAGTTCATCCCAACTTTCGGAGCTTAGTCCATTCCTTGAGGAGAGCTGCACGCGCTTTGTCGTTGCCAGCTTGCTCCTTCTTTGTCACAGGCCTTGCGACGCAGGCGTAAAAGGTTGGTATTCCCTGAAGGTTGGGTTGATGCCCCGAAGCCTTGTTCGATCTGGGCATCGGTGGAGTAGGATCTCCGTTTAATCCTATGGCAGGGCCAGCAGGATACCCGCCGGTGCTGCCGAATCCGTTGACCCCCCTGACGGTTACGTCGGGCTGTTTGACAGTGATCTTAGCGTCAACAATCATGACTTTCTCAAGTATGAGTTGAGCGATCCTGTCTCCAGGTCGAAATCGAAATTCGTAATCAGAATGATTGAAAAGCATCACTCTTACTTCTCCCGAAAAGTCGGGATCGATTACACCTGCATGTGTTTAACTGCCAGACCAGATCTTGGCGCAATGCGACCGTAAACTCCCTTAGGGAAGGTAAAGGCGCATCCAGTTCGCACAAGGGCACTTCCCTTTGCAGGAACCGTGACTTCTTCACTCGAGCTTAAATCTAAGCCTGCAGATCCAGGCGTCTGCCGAGTGGGAAGAGTGGCGCAATCACCCATAATATGAACGAGCAAGGCATCCTTGTCTCGTCTCCATGCACACGGATCGGCCTCCGTTACCTCAACAGGCGCAGCAGGAGCATCGTCCTTTTCGCTCAAGATAGCTGGAGTAGCCGCATAGGGCTTATCCCCATAGAGACCTTTAATTATAGCTTTGCGCATCCCAATAATAGGATATCGTGCAGTTAAGGGCGTAAGGCTTCCCTCGATCCTGGCGTGGGGGTAACCTGTCTCGTGGCTACATGTGCGCCCACGTAGCTCGTTGGCTATTTCAGGGCAAGAAGTGGCGATCCGCCATTGCTTCCTGATGGGAACACCATCGGATGTTTGCATTCCAAAGTCGCAACCGTCAACATCGACACATTTGATGTCGGGATCGTCGAGTAGACGTCTCATAAACGGTTGCTTCCATCCAAGGCAATGCCTCGGCCACTCGAATGCAATTCTACCTCCCTTAAAACGCACGCGTTTGGCGATGCGGAGGAAGGCAGCAAACATAACCATGATATTCGCCTAGCTTCATTGAGCTCAACGGCGAATTCAGGACCGTATTGCGACAGATTAACATACTGCCAAGTACTCCACGGTCCACATGGTACTGAGCCCCATAAGTCACACCCAGGATTCTGGTCGACTATTTCAATCAGCCTGGTCATATCTTTGTTCTTCAAAATGTCGAACGACTCTTTGTGTACGCGATTGCGTCACCCCCCTGTTCCAGCATAGTGGCGGAGAGCTCAGAGTCAGGTTCACATGCAAATTCTATCAACATTCTTCGCTTCACAAGAGCGGGCCCAGCTGGATTGGAGGGTGCGGCTTCGCCGGCACGCTTCCTCCCTCTCAGCCTCGATGTATATCC